AATGGACCAAATAAACTACGAAAATCCTACAAATGGGGGAAAACAAAAAGAAAATAAACATGAAATAAAGACACAAAAATGGGACAAACAAATTCCAAAGCGTGCGAGCCTACCACTTAGGCTCAACATGTTTTGAATAAATCTATACTTATATAAAAAGGTATACCATTTACCAGATTTAGTATAAAGAAAGTCAACAATATTTATTGTATTACTATTTCCATATTATACAATCTATACTTATATAAAAGGAGATTGTATTTACTATATTTACTATCCAGAAAAGTCAACTGCATTAAATGTCATTACTATTTTGGTATTATAATATTTTATTTATTTAATTAATTTATTTATTTCTTTTATTTTAAAAAGGTAAGTATAATAAAAAGATTTTAATAATAAAAATCAAATACCAAATAAAAATGTACACTTTGACTTATTTGATTATATTTGGTATTTGATTATACCAAACATATTCCTATTTAGTATATACATTAAATATTTACTAAAGTATTTATTTGTTTTATTTGTCAAAGTTAAATATAGATTTGTTTATATTATCAAATCATAAAAAAATATTAAATCCATATTGTAAAAAAAAAATCATATAATTTTATAACAATTCTACTACACTATTTAACAATATTTTTTTATTATATAATAAAATAATAATTAAATATTATATGGTGAACAACAATAAGTAAAACTGTTACTTTCTCTTATATCAAGGGATAAATTATATGCTAAAATTAAATTTTTATTATAAATGTTTTAGTGAGATAATATATTAATTATTTTACAAGCTAGCCCTAACATGCTCATATTTAATGTTTTAAAAGATGTAAAAAAAAACTTATAATAACTCTATTGTTTTTTAGACTTAAACGTTTGATTAAAAGAGGTAAAAATTCCTAATTTTTTATACTTAAACGTTGATTAACACCATAGATTGAGAGTTTATATTTAGTAAAATTCCTAATTGTAATAAAAAAAATTAATTTTTGCTATATTTTAGAATATCTTTAAATTCATTATAAAAAAAAATAAAAAAAACTATAATGAAAAAAGCAAGTCAGCTATATATCGATTTGTTGTACTCCTCAAATCACATTCACAATTTGGCTACAAGGAAAGGAAATTCATTGATTAAAATATTATTTTGTCAGTAGTCTTAATGTACAAGAGACTTTAAGACTCCACTTGAATATTATAAAACTTTTATTGAACATTGTACAATTTTCTTGCGTATTATAAACTTTTATTGAATATTGCATCTTATAATATAATATTCTCCAAATAAATATATCTCGTGCTTTGCACGAGTCACGTACTATATATATCCCGTACATTTTTCTTTATTCATGTATATAATTATAAGCCTGGATAAATAGCCTTAAAATTGTGCACCCCGTGCATCGCACGGGCTCTGTACTAGTATATAGGGAATATGGGATGTAATCTGGACCTTTCCAAACTTACATGGCAGGTCGCAAGTTTTAAATGATTACACCAAGAAAAATGTTTTGTATTCTCACACACTGATTCATACATGCTTGATATTACCAACTAAGCTTGAAAAATATCATAAAAAATACAATAAATTATAATTCTTTTTTTTTTATTTAATTCATATTAATTATTATAAATGTATATTTTTATTTTTAATATATTACTTTTCACATATATTATACAAAATTGATCATTTCTTAATGATCTTCGATTTAACATCTATATCGTCTATATAAATAAAAATAATAATAATTGGATCTATCTTTATGAATAGATTTAAATTAGTTTATAAATATATATCTATATCTATATAATGGACAAATCCTTATTTCCATAATTGACATGATTTTAGGCGTAAAATTTTTTAATCTATATTTGACATTTAATTAATATTTATTTATTAACAAATCTTATGCACGAAAAACATAATTAACTTTTATACACTCAATGACTATTACTCATTAACTACAAATTGGCTTAAATTAAATTCTTGACCGCAAATTTATTAGATATATTTTCAATAAGATCTTATATTATTTTAATAGTAATTTATTGACACAAATCAAAAAATTATTATGGAAATTAATTTGATTAAATATAGTATTATATATTGTTGTAGCTATTTATTTAATTAAGTATATTCACTATTCTTTTTTTTTTCGAAACGATAGAGATTTCTATTAAACAAACGCACAAATGTGCAAAGTAACAGCCCCTAGCTGAATGACCCAGCTAATAGCTGAAAAACAGGGAGGTCAATCCGAAGATTGCCTAGAAACCGAACTAGCCATGCTAGAATAGACCGACCACACACAAAAACACAAACAATACACAAAACAAACGAAAAAACTACAAACGATCCCCACAGGATAATGTCCGAGTGTAGGATCCCCACAGGATAATAAGTTTACACTCGGACTAACCGAGGCCAATGACCCAAACCTAAAACACAACTACTAACACAAAACAACACAGACGACACAAAATAAAGACTAAAAAACAAAAAAACACGCGAAGCCCTTCCCCAGCAAACTGACCAACCCAACCAACAGTGAACAATCGACACAAGAGAGATTCCAAGCCTGAGAAGCCACTACCGAAACTGCGAACTGCCTATACAGTAGTCGAAACCAAGCCCCGAGCCAACCCTCGAATCGATCCGTCTCCAACCGATAGAAACAAGAACCAACCCCCACTCCGGTCCTCTGAACCCATCTAACACCACTAGCCGAGCTCGGGAGAGCCTGGACCCCGCCGCCTAACACCACTAGCCGACAGGAGAGAAAGGGAGAGGCGCGTTCCGCAATTCCGACAACCCCAGCGTGGGACACAGCCGTAGCCCTGCCCAACCACAACGTTGCCAAAGCCCCACCCCACGACCAGACCCATACACCTCTCCACCGCAAACCGGCGGCAACTGGAGGTCAAACTCCACCCGAAGCACCACCGGAAAAGGAGAAGCCATTCGAGAGAGACCCTCAATTCGCGGATCAGAGGAAGATCGTATAGTGACGAGCTCCAACCGAGGACCTGTCGGCGACCGAATCGCAGGCCGTTCTCCAATCGGGAGCCGCGCCACAGATCTAGCAACCTTCGGCAACCAAGGACCGACCACCCAAATCCGACCGTCCGCAGCCACATCGGAGGAGCGCAGGTCAGGGGTGGAGTGAGCAGTTGAAGACTACCATTGGCCGGAGCCTCGCCTTCACCGTGGAAGGCCGATCGATGAAAAGATTGAGAAAAATGGGCAGATGAATTTGGGGAGTAGGGTTGAGAGAGAGAAAAGTATATTCACTATTCAGAAGTACTGAAAATATTTAATCAAAATAACTATGTTTAAATCATAATAACTTAATAAATAATTTAAAATATTAATAAAATGTACTAAATTGTAGTTAATTTAACTATAAAAAGGTACATCCCCATTGAATATATCATATGCAGTGATAATACTATTGAAAATTTAAATAATATACTAATAAAAATAAAATTTGATGGTCGGGTGCAATTCAGAATTATAAATTTCACCTTAGAAGTATCTATGTACATTAAAAAACTATTCAATTTTTAAGAACATAATTTTTTTTGTTATATACTATTTTTTAAAAGAAAAATAAGTTAATAAAAAAGCAATGTATAATAATTTAAATTATAACACTTGGTAATTATGGAAATATATAATATATCTAAATATTGGAATAGATACTATGTAACTCATTATATAGGTTCAAAAATTGAATTAAAGAAATAAATATAAATAAAAAATAGAAACATAAAAATAAAATATTTAACCATAAAAACTTTTTGTGTTGCATAAGGATTAAAGTTACTAAAAATCAAAATTTATTTATCAAAATTTTTAACATTTACTGCACTTAATAATTATAGCGGAAAATAAATATTATGGGTTAAACGTTGGTCAATTATCAAGCAATGTGCAAATTATGAATGGTTAAAAAAATTATAAGACTATGATAAACGACAATTTTATAAGTATATGCAAGTAATTTGTATGCAAATATCATATGATGTTTTACGTATATTATATTTTATAAATTTATAAAAAATAAAATTTATATATTAAATGGTCAAAAACTACAATATATATATATAGAAATTATTAACAATAATAGTAAATAAATAAATGTCATATTATTACTGAATAAAATATTGTGGAGAGTATAATTTCATATTGTCTTAAATAATTTTATTATATTTAAATAAAAAATATTTTTTTATATTGCACCATGTGCATCGCACAGATTTCAACACTAATAATATATAAAGCATATCTATATATATAATAAGAATTATCATTTACCGAAAAAAAAAGGTCAGAATTTAATGCAACCTATAAATAGTAAGTTTTACTATTTTTTTTTTTATTTTTTTCTTTAAAAATCATATAGCATTAAATGTTACCTTAATTTTGGGTTTTACTTCATTTTATTATTTAAAAAATTCGACTAAGATTTATTAAGTGTGTATGTTTTTATTTTATTTTTATCAAGTTATTTTATTAAATCTTTTGTGGTTTATTTAGATTTTAATTTATAAACATTTTAATATATATATAATTTAAATTTAAATAAATTTAAATAAAATCAAATAAAATGTGTTACTTAGATATCTAAACAATTTATAAATTTAAATATTTAAACTAATTGATAAATAATTTATAAATCTCTATTTTATTTAAATATGGAATTTTATTTAAAATATTTTTAAATATAAAATAAATTTATTTAGAAAATCGTATCGATCCTACCAGTTCAACCAACTGATGTTGACGAATTCGAGAGCAAATATATTATTCAAGCGAACTACACTGGTTATAAACCGGTTCTCGGTTCATCCGGTCGGACTGTGTCCAACCCGGTTTAATTTAAAAACAATGGATAAATCATGATTAATGTTTATAATTCCTTTTTTGGGTACCGATGACTGATTAATTTTTTGCATATATTTCATATATCATTATACCTTTTTAGGAGTATAATTCATTTTTTGGGGTAGATTGTGCTGACAGGCTAAACAAGTCATTGATTTTAATGGGAGAAATTGGAGGAAACGATATAAATTATCCATTGGCTCAAGGCAAATCCCTTGAAGAAATCAAGACCTATGTGCCCTTTATCATTCAAGCTATTGCCAACGCCACAAGAGTAATTAAATCCCATGCATGCATAGATTTTTACTTTAATTAATTAATTATACTTAAAATAAGTTCATATAGTTTTGATTGTTTGATTTTCCATTTTATTTATTATTATTTAGGAGATCATTATTGCCGGTGCCTCACAAATCGTGATCTCAGGAAACTTCCCCTTTGGGTGTTTCCCTTATACTCTCAGCGCTTTTTCTAGTAACGATTCAACAGATTACGATGAAAATGGGTGCATAAAACGTTTGAACGATCTTGCTATTTATCAGAACTCCAATCTTCAGACTGCTATATACTCTCTTAGAAGGGAATTTCCAAATGTTGTTATACTCTACGCAGACTACTACAATGCTTTTCTAACAATTCTTCGTCAAGCGCCTATTCTCGGTTAGTATTTATTTATTACAAAATTTATACATTAATATTTAAAATACATTATTGCCAAATTAGTGTTATAATGATAATGATATTCTCGTATGGTTTAATTTGTAGGATTTGATCGTAGAACTTTGTTGAGTCCTTGTTGCCAAAGTAGAGATTATAATCCTACTAGTCCACAGTTTTGTGGAGGGATTGGCGTGCCTGTATGTGACAATCCAAATCAATATGTGCATTGGGATGGTTTACATCTGACGGAAGAAGCGCACCGTCAAGTCTCCAAAATTATTGATACAAATTTAGTTTTGGGGGCAAACTGCACCTTTTAATATTGAACATGTAACTTTAATTACGATTGAATAAGAAAACAACATGCTGTTTAAGATTGAACAATTCAGAGATATTTGTTATGTTTATCATTAAATCATCATTTGAATATGTACTGGTTTAAAGACTATTTAATCATTGCTATTTTGATATTTAATCATTTTTTTTTGGTACAAATATTTAATCATTTTGAATACAACAATCAGTGGCTAGCCAGGATTCAAATTTATTCAGGGAAAACTAATACACTTAGTTGGTATTGCAACATTAATACATTGCATGTTTTTCATGATATCATTCCAACATTTTTTTTTTATAAAAAAACCGTCTAATTATTAAATAATTCATATATTTGTGGTGGTGTTTATCTTACAAAGTAGCACAAGTTTCGGTGTAGAAAAGATTGACATGTTTAATAGAATAACTTAATGGTATATACATTTAGGAATTATAAAGATTTTTTAATATTAGGTTTTAAATTCTTATGATTTTAAAACTCTTGAGTTGTTGAATTGGGATTTTGAAAACTTTTAAAAGTCGTGAGAGAATTAATTTATTTAACACTAAAATTCATAATGATTTTTTAAGATTTGTTGAGAATTGAAACACAAATTATATGTGTCAAATCTTACTACCAAATCTCACCTTTGAACTTAAGATAGGTTGTATTAATGGAACTTTTATAAACATTTTAAGACTTTTTAAAATGAGTGACTGGTGGATTTAGTGAAACTTCTAATGACTTTGGTGGACATTCTGAAACTTCTATAGCAAAATCTCACCAATTTGATGAGATTTCTATTAGGACTATGTCTCGCCGGCGTCCGGCCAGTCGACGGCGTCGACGGCCACATCAGTGAATCAAGGTAAGGCGACGTGCTCTGGTGAGAATCGAGGACAGCAGAGAGGTGCGCCGACGAGAAATGCGGTATAGAAACGGTCGGCCGTTCATCAAGAGATGGCAGTCCGGCGGGAGATAAATGGTCGTTGATGGCGGAAACTAAGGCGGATATGGTGGCTGTGACGGAGGCCGAAGGTCAGCGTGTGGCTGTGGCGTTCATAGCGAGATGGCCAGTCAGGCGGGAGAGAAATGGCCTGTCGAAAATGGAGGCGGAGACCGGCGGACAGCAGGTGGTCAGCGACGGCGGAGGCGGAGGCGCGAGGCTGTGGTTGGGGTTGAGGCCGGCGGCTGGTTTGGTGGTGTGTATTCAATGTCTATGTGTATGTGTTCTATGAGTCTGTGTGTGTATGTTTTTGTGTGTGTGTGTGTGTGTGTGTTTTGTGTCTGATGGGTGTGTGGCATGTGTTTTGTGTGTGTGTGTGTTTGTTGTGTTTTTGTGCTTTTTTCGTGAGTTTTTCGTGCCTTAGTCGAGTCTTTTTAGGTTCGTTTTAGAATTGACCGGTTTATTTTGTCGTTTTTCGTGTATTTTTGTTCTTGTACTGTTCTCTTGTGTTTTGCCGTATTTTCTTGTTTATTTTGTGGTTGATTAGGTCCGTATTGTGAAGCTTGGGAAGACGTGTCATTTTCAAGTCATATCCGAGCCACCCAAACCATTCTGAGCCATCTTGGGAGATTTTTTATACAAGACCCATTATCATGCTGCTAGGCTCAATCCGCGGTCCTAGTGTACTTCCGCGACGTTGCACGTGCCAAGGCCCAGTCCGCGACCCCAATGCAGTTTCGTGACGTTGCGCGTGCCTATGCCCACACCAAAGCCTCATTTCGCGACCCCAAGGCCGTTTCGCGACGTTGCACGAGCCTATGTCCATGCCAAGTCCACAATTCGCGAACCGAACCTCATTTCGCAACGTTGCGTGTTAAATTTATTAATGTGTATGTTTTTAGTGTGTGTTTGTGGTGTAGCTATAAATAGACATTGTGCTTTGTATTTTTTTGGGCACAACCCCTCATTTCCCAACTTTTAAGTTGGAAAATCCTCTCTATTTTCTCTCTTTTATTTTTATGCTTTGGTTTGGAGATTCATGACTCAATTTTTCCGGCGAAGTTCCGGCAATCTTATTTTTTATCAAGACTCGAGTTTGTGCCCTATTTTTGTCCGGGCATGCGATAGGAGAGTAAGTACCTTGCTTAGGGCTTACTACTTCGAGTTTCTTTTTCAAATTTTGTGTTTATGCTCGATTCTAGGTCTTTGCTTTATTTTTATTGCTTGCTTACGTGTGTTAGGAATCAGATACATGCTTATCTTGTATAAAGGTCTTGACTTTGTTCAAAGCGTGATGATTTAGTGTAGGAAGCTCGTGTTAGATTACCTAGGATCACCTTGCTCGCATGTTTTCTCTTGTTTATTTTTGTTTTTCTTGAGTTATGGATACTCCGTACAACCAAAGTTTCGATTTTTCTCCCTAATCTTGCATCTTTGATCATTTGCTCTTAGATTCTTAGTTTAATTTCGTGCAATCCAATCCAATCAAGCGAGTAGAATGTGTAGGACCTTATTTTCGGTTATGTGAATTGGCGACTAGATAGTGAATGAAGCTCCGAACAGCCTTCCTTTGAGAACGACTCAAGTTGGATACTCGATTATCAACAATCCCTAAAAATACTACAAACAAAATGGCGTCGTTGCTAGGGAAGGAGAGTAGGACGCCGAGTTTACTATCTAGTTGTCGTTTGTTTACGTGTTTCTCTTTCTTTTTGATAATTCCTTAATTTTTGTATTTCTCTTGATTTCTTTTGATTTAGTTGATTTTTGTGTTTGCTGCTCGCAAATTATCCCTTGTTTCCCATTGATGACCGCACGGGTATAGTTGCTTGTTTGTACTTATGCGAGGTAGACGTAGACGTGCAATCCGAGAGGAGACGCCATCGATTGATCTATACGTTGAGCTAAACATAGACGAACCACAACCCGAACCCGAATCGATGGCGGACCAAGGAGAACCATTGCCACCACCACCTCCGAACATGAGGTACTTTGCCCGACCGATTATTAGAGACAACACTTCATGCCTCGTGCTCGGAGAGGCGACCCGAAACTACGATCTCAAGGCGATTCATCTAAATCAACTCCCTTCGTTCTATGGCCTACCACAAGAGGACGTTCTTAACTTCACCCGAGATTTCTACTCCACGGCCAACACGTTTCCCCTCCTTCGAACTTATGATGAACTATGCGATGAAACGCCATTTTCGACACAAGGATTTTATACTAGAACTCGAAAGAATTTTAACACAAGAGACTGGTGACCAATGGTCGGTTTTTCATTAATTCAATACTTTTTAAAAAGGATGAGTACATAGGCTTATTTATAGAAAAATAAAGACAAATCTTATACTAGTCCTAAAAGAAATTGAATACCGATCTAATGGAAACTACATATCTAAAGTACTAACACTAAATAATTTCTTGTGTAATAATCTAATAAGTCTTAATAAATAAATCACCTACACGGCTAAGATATTGTTTGTTATGTTTTTGTGCATATTTTCTTATGTTTTATGTGCTTTAGTCGAGCGGTTTTTAGGTTCGTTTTAGTGTCGACCGGTCCATTTTTATCGTATTTTGTGCATTTTTATTCTTTTCATGTGTTTTTGTGTTTAGTCACACATTATTTGAGTTTGAGAAGACGAGTCATTTTCGAGACATTTTCGAGCCGTCCGAACCATGTACGAGCCTTTTTATCGAGCTATCCGAGCTACCGAGAGAAAGAGATCATTCCGAGGCATTGCCATGATGCGGGCACTCGCTGCGAAACAGCATTAGCTAGCCGTGAAAGCACCCTGCCAGCACCAAATAATGCTACACTCTCTGCGAAACTGGTTTCGAGACCCACGAACTGAAGAATTGTAGTAAATGTGTGTGTTTCTAGTGTGTGTTTGTGGTGTAACTATAAATAGATATTGTGCTTTGTATTTTTTACAAAACCCCTCATTTCCCAACTTTTACGTTGGGAAATCCTCTCTATTTTCTCTCTTTTATTTTTTTTTATGCTTTGGTTTGGAGGTCCATGACTTAACTTTTCCGGTGAAATTCCGATAATTTTATTTTTATCCAAGTTTCGAGCTTTATTCACTATTTTCGTCTGAGCATGTGATAGGAGAGTAGGTACCTTGCTTAGGCCTTACTACTTCAAGTTTGTCTTTCGAATTATGTGTTTATACTCATTTCTAGGCTTAACCTTTTTTTTATTGCTTGCTTACATGTGTTAAGAATCCGATACGTGCTTATCTTGTATAGAGATCTCGACTTTGCTCAAAGCGGTGATGATCTAGTGTAGAAGGCTCGTGTTAGGTTACCTAGGATCACTATGCTCGCATGATTTGTCTTGTTTACTTTTATTTTCTTGAGTTATGAAGACTCCATGCAACAAAAGTTTTGATATTTTTTCGATTCTTGCATAGTTTATAATTTGCTCTTAGATTCTTAGTTTAATTTCGTGTAATCATCCCCAATCAAGTGAGTAGCATTTTTAGGACCTTATTTTCGGTTATGTGAATTGACGACTAGGTAGTGAACGAAGCTCCGAACAGCCTTCCTTTGAGAATGACCCGAGTCGGGTAGCTCGGTTACCACCTATCCAAAAATACTACAAACAGATATCTATATCTATATCTTTTTTTTTTTTTTTTGAACGATAAACGATAGAAATAATATTAAAAGCTCGTGAGAACAATGTTCGAATACATACGCGACCAACAACCAAAAAATAAAAACGTGAGAGGACTCGCTATAAAGCGGCCTAGAAAGATCCCACAGACGGGATATAAAAAAAGAAACTAGTTTTGCCCATCTAACCACTGCATAAGCGTAGCCGGATTGACAAACCTGCAACTAATCTACTAAACAAACAGCAAAATGTAAAAAAATACAAACTGAAATTAGGACACTTAAGACTAAACTGAGATATGTTCCAACCAGTCATTTTGAGCTGCCAACCCCGCAATTCTGACTGGAACATGTTTGCCTTGAAAGATCCATAGATTTCGTGACTTCCATAGCCTCCACAAGAGGTAAGTAGTGAGTTGAATGCGAGCTTCAGATACTTCAAGTTTATCAACTGCACACACTTGGTTCCACCAGTCACAGAAATTAACTCCCTCAGAACAAATGCCATCCCATTGAACAAGACTGATTTCCCACAATGATTTTGCTTTAGCACAATGAAAGAATATGTGGAAAATAGTCTCAGGTGCGTCACCACAACTCTGGCAGATGTGATCAATGTTCATACCTTTTTTCAGAAGGCTTGTCTTAACAGGAAGAGTGTCTGAGCAGCATTTCCAGAGGAAATGTTTAGTTTTGTTGTTGACCTTCAGTTTCCAGGTTCTGATTCTGGCATTCCAATTGGCTTGCTTTGTGTTGCTTCCTTGTGGGATATCCATCCCCTGAACCCTGTGATTTATGAGGAAGGAGTATGTAGAAAAAACATAAAATTGTCCTTTGCACTGAAAACTCCAATACATTATGTCCTCCTTTGCAAGGTTTAGTGATTTGATTTGGAGAATAGCTTTGCTTTCCACTTCATTAAAAACTTGGGATACCAGCCAGTCATTCCAGGTTTTGCCATTGTTGTGGATAAGTTCTTTAACCCAAATAAGATGATCTCTGGCTAATTCCATCAAAGTTGGCCTTGCAGTATTTAGTGAGGGAATCCAGTTGACATCTGAGATTTTGGTGGATTCACCATTCCTCACCTAGATTCTGAAACCTTTTGTGTAAATAGGCATCACCTCAAGCTAGCAGTTCCAAAACCATGAGCTGTTTTGATTTTTTGAAGCATCAAAAATGGAGGAGTTTGGAAAATACCTGCTTTTGAGAACTTGACTAACCAGGAGTTGGGGTTGGGTGATAAGCCTCCAGATTTGTTTACAGATTAGAGCCTCATTGAAAAGTTTCACATTTTGGAACTCCAAACCTCCATCTCCCTTTGGAATTGACAGCTTGTCCCATGCTCTCCAATGCAACCCTTTCTCCTGGTTTTTCCCTCTGGTCCACCAAAAGGCAACACACATTCTTGTGATTTCTTTGATAATGATGCCTGGGAGCCTAAAACAGGCCATTGTGAAGACTAGAATGGCATTTATCACTGCTTTTATCAGAACCTCTGTCCCAGCAGGGGAAAGAAGCTTATTTTTCCACCTGTTAAGTCTTGACTTCACTGAACAGAGA